CGTGTCCTGAAGATCTACGACATCCAGACGGGTCAGAAGACGCTGACCCTGAACGACCCCGCCCTGGCCAACAACTACAAGAGGAACTGCGCCACCTTCAACCCCACTGACGACCTGGTGCTAAACGACGGCGTGCTGTGGGACGTGCGGGCGTCGCGGGCCATCCACAAGTTCGACAAGTTCAACATGAACATCAGCGGAGTCTTCCACCCCAACGGCCTGGAAGTCATCGTCAACACGGAGATCGTATCCTCTGATGCTGCAGGGGCCGTCTTTTCTTTCCTCTTCTTTCTTTTACTGCAAAAAATATTCTTAAAATGAAACGGGTCGTTTAAAAAAACATTCTGGGCCCAGTTAATGACGTGTGTGTGCAAAGGAGCTGTTCACTTGCTGAGCCCTGCATGTTTCTGGTCATTAATGCTGCTGGTTTAATGAAACAGGAGAATCTGCTGCCCTCAGTAGAAGAGAATCACCTGAGCAGGCGCATTTTTAAAAATTCAGCCTCGTCCCAATTTACCCTGCTTAAAAAAACATATTCAATATTTTTAATGCATATTACCTGATAAACCATAATGTCAGTTTGGGCCTCGCAGTCTCCAAAACTCTAGTCAAAGTTTAAGATCAGATTGTTGATCGCAGCTGTAACAACGACGGAACAAAACGAGCTGCACGTGTTTCTGTGTCGCCTCCTGTCGTGTCGTAGTCGTGTTCCTTGACAGCAGGCGTCAGTGGGACCTGAGGACCTTCCACCTGCTGCACACCGTCCCCGCCCTGGACCAGTGCAGGGTGGTCTTCAACAGCAACGCCACCATCATGTACGGAGGTACGAGCGTCCGAGTCATTACGAGCACAGCGAGGGGCCGAATCGCCGCTCTGACGTACGATGTTTTTCCCTCTTCCCGCTCTCGCACGCAGCTATGCTCCAGGCCGACGACGAGGACGACGCGATGGATCAGCAGATGAAGGGTCCCTTCGGCTCATCCTTTAGAACCTTCGATGCTACGGACTACAAGCCCATCAGTAAGCCTTCACTTCCTGTCACTGTTGGTCAAATACAGCATATATACTGGGGCTGGGGATCGTCACTGATTTCTAGAATCGATTCAATCTGGGGAATTTTGCCTCAGACAGTCAGAAATATTATGATTCAGATCATGCATCCGTACATTTCCATATTTTTATATCTATAGAAAGAAAGCTGACACCTGTGAGACTTTATCAAAGGTGTGAGCATCACAGCAGACGCCTTTGTGTCAAAGTAGCTGAGGATGAAACAGAAAAACATGAAGGAGGTTTTCCTGTTCTGGGATTTATAAAAATATTCTGCAGTCGATCAAAAACGAAAGAAAACCATTAATCAGCACATGAACATTACCTGATGCTGCTGACGTGAAGCAGAGCAAAGTTACAGAGGTTTGATTTCTAGGGGTGGGGAAAAAATGGATGCTGTGTAGTATGGTGATATTTTGTTTGCTAATAATGTATGGATACAGGGACAGCAGAAATCGATATTTTGTTACAAAAAGGTTTTTGTGCTCTGACTTCAGAGCATGTTGATCCTTTTTCTGAGCA